CACAATCCTGGACGGAATTCTTCCTTCGTCCAACATTCCTCTGCCCGACGATATCTCACGGTTATCGACATGGACGCTAGTCTAACATTCAGCGTTGTGCGTGGAGTATTATCGCCTCTTCTGCCTACCGCACTGTCACCTATGGATCTGATGAGCCACTGGACTTGCCACCCTTGGGTTCGTTTAGTCTGGATCCAGGTATATTCACATACCTCACAGAACAAATCTTTGTTCTGTACTTCGCTTCGGTTAGTTTCTATCTTGCACACTTTTCCCACTCTCGGGCCACGTCGTGCCTGGGATACCAACGGCTCGGTGAATCTTCGCAACTTTTCCGCCTCCGTCACTCCATAACGTGCCACACTCCTACTCTATGCTCAGTCGACCATGGCCCACCTTCGTAAGCATGGTGGGCTAGCATAGTCCAAACGTTCTCAATATCGTTCAAATCGGGGTTCTTGCTACTCCAGTCCATGAGGAAGACGCCAGAGTGTTCAAGAAACTTCTTCGTCTCATTGGAAGCGTGAATAGTGGCGTTGTCTTGTTGGAAAACAGCAATCTGGTCTTCGAGACGCACATGCACTTCGTCCAAAAACGTGAACAGTTATGACTCCAGCGGCTTGCAATACTTCCCCGAGCTTTGTCGTCCTTCTAGGAATGCGATATCTGGCTTCCCGCGCAAGCTCACGGCACCCTAGACCATAGCACTGCCCACACCGCTGACCCGCTTCGAGAACACTTTTTCGTCATCACAGAGGCCACGCCAGTACGCGCAGTATCCATCCGGGCGGTCCAAGATGAACTTCTTTTCGACCGAGAAGGCAACATGATGCCAAATAACCGGCTTCGCTGCCATGTACTTTGCAGCGAAATCACGACGCGCTTTCTTGTGACGCGGCTTCAGATACGGCGTCGGCTTCTTCTTCGCGTATTCAATAAACTTACTCGATTTCAGCACGTTGAGCACAGTGCGGGCAGTCATCCGTCACCCGCACAGGTAGTGTCTTAGCGCGTTGAGTTGATAAGAAGTTGCGCAAAAGTCGTTTTAGTTGACGTCCAATCTCACGGTTGGTAATCTTCTCGTGCACCCAGGCTATAATTTGGCCCATTTCGTAGCCTGTGAGATTGGGACTCCTTGTCATGATACGCGGTTGACCAATTTTGTCATGATTCGCGCCATAACGTCACGAATTCATTGGCCAATTCCCCGCACCAATTTCTTTCCATTTTGAATGCGATTATTAACTTTTAGAAAATATAATACGCAGAGTGCATATAAATATTTCCCATGCCTGAAACCGGGTCAATTCAACCATACTCCTTATGTTGGCAAATTCAAGCTAACCGGCTGAATTGGACTGTAGGCATTGCTCTTGGAGGTATGCCCATCATGGGAAACTATCTCCGAAATCTTGGTGTATTGAGTGTATAATGACGTTGAATGGCAATTCCAATTGCTACTTTAGTTAGGGTGGAAACAAGACCAAAGCGTTGTGCTGACCATGACGCCAAATGGGAGTACGTTGAGGTTGGACTTTTGATGTGGTGGACATATAGCTCACAGCTTTTCAGGCAAAGTCATTCAAAGTTCATGTTTGTAGTTGGACTGTTGCATTCGTTCCAACTTCCATATGGAGCACTTGAATTTCAAACCTTACCTCAACAATTGATAATTGAAATTTATGAGGTTTCTTAGCTTCAGCCTGATAAAAGTCGTGGGAATATTAGTACAAGATGAAAATTGCGTCTTGCTGACCAGTTCTCACGAAATTCAGAAAGGTCATGGTTTTAAGGTATCTTGATTTGTGTGGTTCGTTTCACGGCGAGTACGGCATACAAAACCCAATAGAAATACGGGTTCATTTTCTGTTTAAAAAGCGGGTTCGTTGTTGTCCAGGACTGTGAGTTGTGAAATGTTCGTTACGATGTTTTATAAACGTACCGAAAGTTTCCCATTTCACATTGGTGGACGTTCATATCTTTTCGAGACGAACTGGTGTAGGAATTTTGGCTAACATACACGTGAAACACTCATCGATTTCGCAATTCTACCCAGCGCAAACACGTTAAGGTAAATAAATATCAATCAAACTGTGTCTCCATCGCTTACGAAAGACTCGGCGCTTCTTGGTTGTGATACCTGCCATGCCTAATACGCGTGTTAAATCTTTGAAGCACTATGCCTGACGAAACCGTCGTCTTAGTCTCTCCCCCATGCCCTGTGTGCCGATTCGGTCACTGCGCCGCGGTGTAACATCGTAATGCCAACCGACGACGTCTCACTCGGCTTTAAATTCAGCAAAATTTTCAACCACTAGAACAAGTTGTCACAGGTCAGTTCAAATCATATAGAATAGGAGAGGATACGCCGTGGATTGATTATGTATGACCTGAAGATTGCATATTCTGGCGATGATTATGTGAAGAGATTTATGCCTTTTCTGAATCCTCGAATCGAATCGTGCAATGGATCTCTCATGAATTGTGCTTCGTTTCGCGCAATATGCGTATCACTGTTTGTATGGATCTATGTTTCGGAAACTCCTTGAACACTTTGACGTGTAATACACACTGACATTTCGATGCACACGATCGCGGGGGTCTGCAATACTTTACTGTACGTACGACCTCAAATGTGAAGGAAACGTCGTCCTTTTGCTCCCAAAATCATCCTCGCTCGACACAACGTGCATAATTATCGAGAAACAGAATGGGTCACGTCGTCTGGGCAATACATTTCAAATGGTCTTCGCCCGCGCCAACACCTCCTCCCAACAACCCTCGTTGATATGCGTGAGAAAAATTATTTTAAAAACTGGATTTCCCGGCGCGGTGTATGTAAATTTCGCCTGGTCCAACACATTAATTTTACAGGTGCGTTTTCTGGGATTGTGCCCAATGAACCACAGCAATACAGCGCGAGAAAAAGGCACTTTCTATCATACGGTCTACAAATGGGACATTTCCAGCCCTGTTACACTCAAGAAATAGTCTGGGTATTGAACCCGGCACGAATTTGGCGTGGAAACGCGAAGCTGTTGGTGCGCATGACCATCGTCACATCTCTTCCGACGTCCTGACAACCACGAAGCTCCTGACGAAGTCCAAGGAAGAAATCCGGGCAACGAAAGAGTCGACACCTCTCCTTCGGCAAAGGCTTCATGGCAACTCGCCACCAACACTAGCGCACACGTCGTCGCCACCGACAGCTACATTAACGTGCTCTTTGTGTGCCTGCTGTTTGCAATCAACCCATACTACGCGCAATGGGGTGACGAGGCAATGTTTCTATATAACAATTGAAGACGTCGTGGACACAATGCTGTCGCTAGAATATCTATCTGGCAGCATTGTAGATACATCGACAATTTCGCGCACACATGGGGGATCTTCCATGTTAGATCCATGAATTGAACGGACAATAGTGTTCTTTCGAAGACGGTTTGAGCTGGAGTTTGAGTTTGGCTAAACCAAAAGATGCAATTAGATTGGTCGGTGAAAACGTATCTCAGGGGGCCTTGACTTATTTCGGCCGAAGACTCAACGACACTGGACTTTGATGAAAGGAATTGATTCTCTAAAAATCTGTGTATGTCACGGATGGCGTTGCGAACAAATGATGCCAAATGCCCCTGTTTTGACGCAATTGTTACCACCGATGCTAATAGCACTCATTGCTCAGCGACCTCGTCGACAGCGATGAGTTGTGCGTAGTAACGACGATTTCGCTTTAAATTTGTCGTGATATCTGTCCACGTTTTCATGAGGGCCCTTGTGGGTGCGGCCCACGGCTTTGCATCCTTAGTAGCTACTCCCTCCGATCCACTTTACTTGCCCGAGTTTGGGGACGGAAGACATGCCAAACAATATTATTACAAAGACAAAATCAAAATCTCACATCTCTCCCCAAAAAGCAAATTTCGCAACGCTGATTGGACCAAACAAAAGAGCGCGAAACAGGCTTCAAAAGCATGCCTCTATAGAGGCAATTGCCCCCTAAACGATTTACTCTCCGAGTTTTAAAATTTGCTTACATAGATTCATATAAAACATGCATTATATAGGACCAACACTCTTCATGGTTTTCACTATGCCGCCTTTTGCCACTTTCAAATGCCACCAGGACGCCGCGAGTTGACAAACGCAGAGCGTGAGGCCATCCTCCGCGAGGCCTTGATGCGCAGCAATGGCACGTTCATGACGAAGATGCCGCGAGGCTTCGGTTCGAAGCTGGACACGTGGACATCGTACATGTAGGTACTTGGTGGTTCCGTTGTGCGCGTTGGAGGGTAGTACATCGTACATGTAGGTACTTGGTGGTTCTGTTGTGCGCGTTGGAGGGTTGTCGGTGTAAACCCCCCTCCTGAATCGAATGGTGAGGTCCGTTTCCTCGAAATCGCGAATTTTGACTGTCATGCGACACGCAAACTGTAACGTTACACCTGCAATAATCTGTGCCCGAAATAATAAATTCGTGGAGGTGGTCAATTTTTATTTTGGGAGGCATACAGCAAATTTTCTTATCGGGCAAGTAATTTGGATCAGAGGGAGTATGAGCAAGATGATGTCGTCGATACATCTAAGCGACTTCTTAGTCGAACTTGAGTAGACACCAGGGTGCTCATACAGCCCACCCAGCATGTTCTCATGGGAGCTGAGTGTCATGGAGCCCTGTTTCTGCGTTGTCTATTATGTTGAGCCACTTCGGCGTGAAATATTTGATCTACGATCAAACGTCGCCTCAAAGCCACGTCATATACAATCTGCCTATTCTGCATACTACATGAGCCTTGCACAAGTGAAACCTGATGGAAGCCACATCGCCCTAGCATTGCCTAATGAAGAATTTCTAAGGGCCCGTCCGAATGCCACGCAATACCACAGTAAGTCCCCTAGAACATGCAAATTTCACAAGGTTCGGAAAAGTAACGTGAATCTGGCGAAACGGCTGTGTGGGTGCCCGCAAATTTGACACCCAAAATGGCAGTTTTGAAGGAATAATGCAATTCCGAAAACACAGCGCAGACTTGTATTTTGAAACTTGCGTTGCACCCCATGAAGCAGGCGTTGAGTTTGGGTTTCTTGCGGCTGCGTACTCTCCTCCGTCGACGCCAATTCATCATGATGTACTGTACATCGTGTACCACTACAATGCCTACATGCTCAAGAACCCAAGCGAGCGCAAGTCGATCCTCACAGGTCGCATGTGGGTTGAAGAGATCGTTCGCGGCAACCCGCACTTGGGAGTTGAGAATTTTAGAATAACAATCGTCTGCTTTCAACGACTTGTCCGCCGAATGGAGGACGTTGGTGGACTGCGAAGTACTGTCCGCATCCCGACGACAGATCAAGTGGCAATGCTTTTGTACTTTGCCGGCCATCATGTGTCCAGTCCAGCTCTGCAGGAGCGATTTCAGCACTCGGGCGAGTCCATCTCACGACACCTTCGAGCTGTGTTGGCTGCACTTCGAAGATGTGTCCAATTTACATTCGGTTGCCTCGGCAAGACGCACCGGCGACGGACCAAATACGTCTAAGCCCAAAGTTCTCGCCGTTCTTCAGTGCCGTATGGCAATCGATTGAACACACTTCCCAGTGTTTGTTCGAGAAGACATGGTCTCAAGATTTCAAAGTCGCAAGGTGTGACCATGAACATCTTGGCAGCATGCGACTTCGACATGAAATTTACTTATGTCCTCGCAGGATGGGAGGGCACATCCGGCGATGGCAAGCTCTACGAGTACGCGATGAGTCATGGATTGACTATATCCGACAATCAGTTCGACATTTTGGACGCGGGATTGCTCTGACGACCAAGGCGTTGATCCGTATCGTGGAACTCGATACCATTTGAAGGAATTCGGTCGTGGGCGTCAAAGTCCACAAAGGAGGAACTGTTCAATTTGCGCCACG